ATCTGTAAACCCCTTCCTCGATTCACTTATCCTCCTGTCAAATTTAGAGTTCATTGCTAACAATTTCAATCATTATATTACCAGTTCTCACAACTTCTTTGTTCCTTCGCCTGTTTATTATATCTATCTGGCAAAGGGTTGCCTTTATTTCTATATGAAATGATATATCTGCCTTATATGTTCTTGAAACCAAGCAACTGGGTGCTGCTGGAGCAAATCACACAAACGCAAATTGCTGTCATTATAAAGTTATGGTCGCTTTCCTCAACTGTGCACTGAACACTGCGGAGCAATTCTATTGTAAGATTTTATTGAACTCTCACTTCCACACTGCATGCACATTAGCTTTTCACACCTTCTTTACTCTCCTCAATCCATAAGACCTCCGCCTCATCCCCTCATTTGCGGCAAACATTCTCACCTCCTACTTCAGAGAAAATATGCCAGGAGGTTGAAACTCCCTTAACTTTCCTTCGGCAGACGTCCATATCTACTGCAATTCTACTCCTATACCGGCTTCCTCTCCTGTTGCAGGTGTTAAGGTGCCCCTGCTTCCCTTCAAGGCCTCAACTGCCTCCTGTATTCTGGATCCTACCCTCTGCCATCTTTTCAGAAGACTTGCCCCTTTAAGTACCCTTCTCACTTGTCTCTCTTCAACCTCTCCTACCCTTCTAGGTATTCCATGAGACATATTCAGGTCTTTTTCTCACCTTAAAAAAAATTCTTTGACCTCACATTTCATTCCATCTATGGTCCTACTCTCTCCTTCCCTTTATAGTCACATCTTTTTAAAGGAATAATCTACCCTTAACGTCTCCATTTCCTCACCTCATATGCATTCCTTAATCTACTCAGGTTTAACTTCTGCTGCTATCGCTCTACTGAAATGACCATTGCTAAAGTTACCAATGACTAGGAGGCCACATCATTGAAACACTTTTGCCAGGACAGTAGGCTTCAATTAGAACAGGACTGGGAAAACTGGGGCACAAGGTTTCTTTATCCAATGATCTACTTGTTGCTAAGTCTAATAACATTTTATCTCCATCTTACTTAACTTCTTAGTAGCATGCAATTGGCCACTCTCCTTTGTTTCTAAAATATGTCCTTAATCTTCTTTTTGTTTTTTGGCAGGGAAAGATTCGCCCTGAGCTAACATCTGTTGCCAATCTTCCTCATTTCTTTTCCTCCCCAAAGCTCCAGTGCATGGTTCTATATCCTAGTTGTAAGTCCTTCTAGTTCTTCTATGTGAGCTGCTGCCACAGCATGGCAACTGACAGACAGGTGGTGTGGTTCCACGACCAGGAAACAAACCCAGGCCGCCAAAGTGGTGAAAGCACCAATCTTTAACTACTAGACCATTAGGGCTGGCTCTCTCCTTCCATAATCTTCTGAGAAATCCCTCTTACCATTCCTTCTTAGTCCACTAGTCCATTTCATTCTCATTTCCTTGAACATTAGATACTGGAGTTCCTCAAAGCTTAGTTTTAGACACCATTCATTTCCTAGTCTATACTCTGATTATATAACTCCACCAATTTCCATGGCTTGGACTTTCGTACCTACATCAATGACTTTCAAAATTACACATCCAGCCTAGACTTCTCCTCTGAGCATCACAGATGCAGCAAACTTCCTAGGTGACAATTCCAGTGGGAAATTTCACGTGTATACTGAGACACAAGGGTGCTCCAGACAGGCAAATAATTTGGCACTCCTTTTAATTAATATTCTTTAAATATTTGTTAATCATTTTTTCATGAGGGGAAGAAGAAACTGTTTACTAAGAAAATTATTATGCAGAAGCATTTATTTACTAAATTATCATATCCAGATGTTTTGAAAGACATCAACAAAACTCTCTCACATTTGGTAGTTATTTTTGCTGTTTCCAAACTTTCCCAACACATTATTAGAATTAATAAAAAATTCAAAGGGATTTAAATATAAGTATTAACATTGGCTAGTTCGGAAACACCAAGATTCTCCATGGCATTGAGGCCAGATTCTCATTATTACTTCTCTGTGGTCACTATTAATTGAAAAGTTGAAGTACTCTGACCACTCTGTTAATTTCTTATCAAACACACTGAAGAAATATTTGAAGAAAATTTAGGATAATAGAAATAAGAAGCAGTGCCTTTAACATGGGTTACAGAACAACGTGGAGACATTTGAATCTTAAAATCTAGTTTCCATGGGATAAAAAACAGAGAAAAATTTTTACTACCAGGAAAATGTATACACAGGCACATATACAAAAAGGTCTACTCTTATTGAGTATATACTCTTTCCCAGAGTTTTCATATAAGTATGGTAATAAAAAGCCCAAGTTTTGTCACAAAGATCTGGGTTCCATATCCCATGTTATCACTTATGAATGGTTATACTTTGGACAATTCTCTTTTTAATTTTCCTAAGGATCATTTTTGCCTTGTGTAAACAGGGAACAGTAGATTGTATAAATGGGGTTGCTGAGAGATTTAAAAGAGTTATGTAAAGCACTTGATACAGTGCCTGGCACATAGCTAATACAATAAGCTTTATCACCATCATCAACTTACATTATCTCTGGATCTGCTTTAATTTTCATTTCATTTCACGTGCATCTTCAAACCACTTGACATGATAAAGATTAGCATCCCCATTTTAGATGGGGAAATGAGGCTTGAGGTAATCCAGCTAATAATTGACAAAAGGGGGGGTTGAACCCATGTTATGTCTACCAGTGGAGGCGCTGCATTCTCCACAGTGCTACACATATACGTGTAAACTGTCCTGATTTAGGAACTGAGGTTTTTTTTTTTTCCAGAGGAACTTGCACACACCTTTGCTCACACAAATTCCCAGATCTACTGACACATTTGGTCAAAACAGGAATTTTCTGTGCCAATGGAATAGAGAATTTGGGCTAGGGAGATTCATGTGTCAAGGTATACATACCAGTATGTCATTGAGAAGCAAGCTACTGATACATATATGAATATATACAAATGTCTGTGGCATTAGATCTATATTAAAGCATACTTCTCTAGTGTTAATAATACACTATTCAAATTCAAGCAACAATTACCATGCAAAATTATAAAAGTAGACGGAAATACTTTTATTACTTTGAATTTTTTACTTTGCTGTAATCCTTTTTAAGGTCCTAGTTTTCAACAGTTTTTAATCTTCTGTGCAATCTTAAATTTCCCAAGAGAATTCATCTGTAGTAAAGGATGCTCCGCTTTGTTGAAAAATAGAAGAACATTATATAATTGTGGCATCGTTTACATAACTGGAGCTGCTGAAGCTTGCTTCTAACACAGGGCAAAGCCTCAAGAAAGTCTTTTTAAATGTGCAGCAGACAATATTATCAATAAAGAAACAAACCTGTACCCACAATACCTTCCTGCCAGGAAAGAGTTGAGATAATTACACTTCTTTTCTGAGCCATATAGATCATATACTGCAAGGCAGTATTTAATGCCACTTAAAATTGTAATCACAAGTTACTGCATGCATAATTTTATTGTCACCGGTCCAAAAGTAGTTAAATTTTTCCAAGGTAATATGTGTTTTCATGTATACATTCATCCTGTATAACCTGGAATTTTAGTGGATAGATAAGAAATAGATTACTTGTGTTTATTTCATGTCTGGACAATCTGTTTAAATATTTGCGTTTCATTGGCACGTTGGTTTAATAAAAATTTCAGTGCATGACTTTTTCTGTGCTAAGGCAAACTCTTTCAAACAACACTGAGACCAGAGGCGTAAGTAGACAAAACAGAGACTTTTGCTAAGCAATGCCAGATCTACTCTTGCAATACAAATGGTAAACATACAACAAGGAAGAACACCTTTCAGCCCTCCTGAAGGTATTCTTAATTACACGTTAAAGCTCCCTGCATACTTCATCACTTCAGTGCTTGCCTGGAGACCTATAAAACCATCAGAGAGTAACATTTTGCAAATCGAGCGGAGAACACTTAGGCATGTTACATCAAATCAAACTGCCTTGCAGGGAGTTGTTTTGGAAAGATGGGGTTCCAACCTGTCATGTTAAAGTGCTCAACCATCCTCCGACTTGCTATGAAAATGCATGTTTGGCAAAATGTATGAAGCAGACTTCTGAGAATTTTGAGACTAATAATACCTTTTACATATGCATGAAAACACTTATCTTGCTATTTTGATGCTCTTTGCACTCAAACAAGAGAGAGCTTTGCTTGGTGTTTAAGAACAGAATCTGGAGGGGCTGGCCCCGTGGCCGAGTGGTTAAGTTCGCGCGCTCCGCTGCAGGCGGCCCAGTGTTTCGTTAGTTCGAATCCTGGGCGCGGACATGGCACTGCTCATCAGACCACGCTGAGGCAGCGTCCCACATGCCACAACTAGAAGAACCCACAACGAAGAATACACAACTATGTACCGGGGGGCTTTGGGGAGAAAAAGGAAAAAATAAAATCTTTAAAAAAAAAAAAAAAAACAGAATCTGGAGTTAACTTGAGGATGAAGTTCAGCTTTACCACCTTTCACTTGCGTGGCTTTGAACAAACTTCTTGCCTTTTCACAGTCTTCATCTCCAGAAGCTGTTTCTTGTTTCATGGGGAAAAATATAATATTATCTACCTCTTAAGGTGATCATGAAGAATACGAGATGATTAAAAGCTTTTAGCGGAGTACCTAATTATAAGTGCTCCATAAATGTCTGTTGAAAGGAAGGAAAGGATGAAGCTAGAGAGGAGGGAGGGAGGGAAAGGAAATTTGATTCTAAGTTTATGCATAACCAGAGGGTGTAGCAGTTGGAGAAAGGATTAATTGCGAAAGGTAGAACACGAAGAAGCAACAGGTAAGCAAAAAATAACTGTTGTGAAAAATAGGCTATCTAAATATTTCATACTCTCATAAAAATTACATAGCTCAACCATGAAGTTTTAGTAACTGGACAAATTTAACGTTTTTACTATGTCTTCTTTTTGTTTTTTTAATAGTTTTTTTTTTCTGTTAAGCAGATCTAGAAGATGCCAATTAATCTCGAAGTTGTATAAAGCAGGAGAGGGTGAGACTGATTATATAAAAGAATACACCTAAAATTATGCTAAGTTTTTTCTCTGCTTGGCAAAATTATCATAGTAGGTGTCTGGCATTAGTTTCCTACACCTCGTCACAGACAAGCACCAAAGGAATCCCCAAACAGCCAGGTACTGTTTTACTTTGCTCTGACAACAGTTGAAGTTTTGGTGCCTCCTGTTTCTTCTCAACTGGGAAGGACATTCGTTTCTACCCAGCTCAAAGGATATCTCCCTTGCACTAGAATGTGCATTCTGCCATTAAATTTAAAACCATCTTGACATGTTGTTATAATACCTCGTGGATGTGGAAAGTTTATTGTGACCTAATGTGAAACGAGGGAAAAGGTGTGATCTGGCTGCCCCTTAATGTGTTGTTACACTGGCACAACAAATCACACGTTCTTAGTTGGAGCCCTAAAGCCAATACACTTGTTAAGTGCTTTTCTTCTTACTATCCTTTTGCATGCTGCTAAGTTGTGTTGTCATTATTGTTAAAGATAATTGGGCTTGGGAACTATTTTGCCCTCAGTCCTTCCCATACAACCGATTTCTGCAGTGGAATTCCAACCACGGCAGAGTGCCTGAAGATCTCATTTGATAGGAAAAAAGTCATCGGGAACATTTTAGCTTTTAAAGATAAGTTTTACGATGTTTCTGCAATGCTATAAAGGATCCCCAATATGGTAACCACTGAGGACTTACTAGATGGCAACACTGTGCTTGGTATTTTACCTAATTATGTTTTATCTTCAGACAACCTTGTTAAAGATGATATCATGATGAGAAAATTAAGTTTAAGAGATGTAACTTACCCAATGTCATAGAGAAGGCGAAAAGTAATTCTAGGTTTTGAATCCCACCTGAGTAAAAAGTTTGAGGAATGAATTTATTCAATAATAGTTTCATGGGCAAATTCTTTATTTCACCAGACAGGTTTTGGGCACCTAGGCTGAGCAGGACATTGTCCTGGCCCTGGGAATACAGCAGAGAAGTGGCTGGAGAAACAGTCCCTGCACTCATGGAGTTCCCAATCAACCAAGGAGACAAAATGTTTAAACATCATATTTAACAAGACAAAGATATTCCCTGTGTAAGTCTCCAAAGGGTCTCCCTCTCTCTGACAGTCAAATGGGAAATAGCCCATTTTCCCATTCCACCTCCCCACTCCCCAAATAAGAGAAACAGAATCTTGCTGGAAGAGAAGAAAGACAAATCTACATTAAAATATATGTACTTTTAATTGTTATTCTCAAATATATTATTATTACAAAAGGTAATGTATAAAAACATATAAGTAAACAAGCAATTCTAGATTGAATGTCCATGCGCCCACAACTCAGGCAAAGAGTTACCCTTTAAGAATGCAGACTGGTTCAATCACTATGGAAAACATTATGGCGATTCCTTAAAAAATTAAAAATAGAACCAGTATATGATTCAGCAATTCCACTTCTGGGTATATATGCAAAGGAAATGAAAACAGGATTTCCAAGAGCTGTATGTACTTCCATGTTTATTGCAGCATTATTTATGACAACCAAGATATGGAAACAATTTAAGGGCCCATCAATGGATGAATAGATAAAGAAGATGTGGTATATATATATATATATATAAAATGGAATAATATTTAGCCACAAGAAAGGAAGACATCCTGCCATTTGCAACAACATGGACTTGAGCATATTATGCTAAGTGAGACAAATCAGACAGAAAAAGATAAGTACTGTATGATGCCTTTTATATGTAGAATCTAAAAAGCCAAACTCGTAAAAAGAGAAAGTAAAATGATGGTTCCACGGGATAGGAATGGGGGATAGGGCAGATGTTGTTTAAGGGTACAAACTTATAATGAGTGGTAAATAAGCCCCAAGGTCTAATGCACAGAGTAGTGAATATAGACAACAATATTGTATTATAATCATCAAACTTGCTAAGAGACTAGAATTTAATTATTTCAACCACTAAAAAGAAAAGATAATTATGTAATGTGATAAAGGTGCTAATTATTGCCACAATGGCAGTCATATTACAATTTATACATGTATCAAATTAATGTGTTGTACACCTTAAATGTACACAATGTAATATGTCAAATATATTTCAATAAAGAAAAAAGAGTACTCCTTGCAAGCTGCATTGAAAACGGTGTTATTTTCGTGAATGGAAGTTATAACCATTTTGTAATGCACGTAGAGAAGCGTTTTAGCACCCTTGCAATAAAGATGTTTCTAAGAATGCTAAAAAAATTTTAAAAAGAAAAACTCAAGATTCAATCTGCTCATTCTTGATGTGTCAGAGAAGTCAGAGTCAGCTGAAATTCTGAAACAATGATTCACAGAATCATGCTGCTTGCAAGTAAGAATTAATAACTACTTATAACTGACTATAAGTAATAGCTTATATTTAACTTAACTTACAGTTAATAATATATTTAACTTATTCTATTTAATCATAAATTATACTATTCATTATGAGTAAATCAGAGCCTGTCAATAACCAGGGTTCCTTTTAAAAGTTCTAGCTGATTCATACGGAACTTTACTTGGTAGCACAAATGTTAAATGTTCTAACCAAAGCTAAGACAGAGACAGCAGTTCATTAGCGATTTGTGTAGAAAATTAGAGCAGAGCCAGAGTGTGTGGCCAGCCCAGGGCTGGAAGCTGAGAGGAGCTGAAAGAAAATGTTCCTAGCCTGAGTTATGTAACCCAGTAAAAAAATTACGGATCGTAAGTCCCAGTTGATGCTGAGAATCTGTCCATTCATGGCATGGAGTAAGTTATTCAATGACGTTAACCCATGTAACTACAGCATTAAAGAAACAAACAATAAAGCAATTCATTCAAAATTAAGAAAAACATGGATGATTGTTTAGATGTTATTTTCAACAATTCACTCATAGGCACTTAAAATCTGTTCTATTTCCTATGACAAATAATGTTACTGTCTTATGAATAAACAGTTTAATCTTAGGCAAGCTCCTTTTGCTCTAATTTATGGCATCTGGTTAAAAAAAATCCCAAAGCAGCCAGGGAGCTGAGTCACAGATGTCAGTGCCAGGTGGTAGCAAAAGTAAGAGCTCTGACTTCAGAGTTAGGGAAGATTTGTCATGATGTGATAAAAAGAACGGATATTGCAGACTTCATAAGTGACGGAAAGAGCCAGAATCTCAGAAAACTCAAGGTAGAGATAAGTCAACTTCTGCTGGGTGTTGCATGTTCAAAGTTCCCTCACTCTTCAGCAACCATCCAGACACCCACATGTGTCCTCCTTTTCTGTGCCTGTGACCCCAAATGAACTTTATCTCCAACAACCTCCCCCTCCTTCCACTATGCCACCCTACTCAAAGCTCCCTTTTGGCAAGCTGGAAGAGAAAGACTTTCACAATTTGAGTTTTGTGAGTTGGGTGCACTTTGCAGTAACAGCACTCTCTTCCCACATTTATGCAGGAGCTTAAAAAATGTTATCAGGTCTCCATTCTTTGATGCTGGCCCCATTCACAGAGGGCCTCTTTCCACAAAATGGCCCCCAGCAGGTACAGGGTTGCACAGTTGTTGATGGCCACAACCTCAAAAGGAGCTTCTTCTCTCCCCAGCATCCCTAACCATTCCTGGAGAAGGATTCTGATTGGATGAGACTGTGTGTCATGCCTGAACCCTATGGCTGGGGAGGGAAGTGGGGCATGCCTCAATTTGGGGCACCACTAGGAGGGAAAGAGCACCTTCCAAAAGAAAAGAGGGAAGGAATCTGTTGTCAGAAGAGCAAGGGTTCAGAGCTCAAAAAAGCCAGTTCCAGGAGGCAGTTTGAAAGGAAACCATTGGAGAGTTAGGGAACTAACATTCCCTCAGTGACTCAGATCACAAGAAGGCAATGAGAACACATTAACGTATTCTGCAAAAGATAGTGCTTGGTAACTACCTTTTACCAGATGGTTGGTTATCTTTGGGATAAAGGACAGTGAGGCAACCAAGAGGTTAACAACAACAGGAAGTTACTAGTACCCCTAAAGCAGTTGGGAGAAGGTGGTATTACTAGTGCCTAGAAGCCAATTAGCTTGACAGGAATGGAGACCCACAGAAAGTAGCCATGTGGCAGAAGCTACTGCCATGGAGGAGGTGCGGTCATAATGGAGATGCTTCCTATAGTGGAGAAATGGGGGGAGATGTAACATGGTTTCTCTCTTCCTTCCTCCCTCCAATCTCCCTCCAATGTATCCCATTAGCTGAATGAAATCAGAAGTACCTGACAAATGTATAAGTTTATGTTCTCTGCGAAGTAGATGTCAAGATGGATTTAGAAGCACAAGACGCTTAGTGGAAGTAACACCTATAAAAGATAAAGGAGAGAAGGAAAAGAAGTAGCAGGGAAAACCTTCAGACCCAATGCTAAAACAAGGCCCATGAAAGGAGAGGGGGCAGATCAGAGCACTGTGCAGTAGGTCCCTCAGACCATCATAGAGTTTTGAGAAAGTCTCAAGTTCAACAGTCTGATCCAGCATATAGATTCCCCATAGAGGGGACTTGTGTCCCCACTGTGCTCACTCATTGACTAGTGGCTGCCTAAGTAACAAGGGACGTTAGCACCAAAGCTGGAGTAGATTCTGAAGGCACCACAGCTGGATACCCTCGCTCCCCAAACTCCTTGTGGCATGTTGTCTCTGGAAGGGAGGAATGCGCATCTTATCCTCTGTGGCTGCTTCAACGAGAGAGTCTGCTGTGTTCAATCCCAGAAACACAGAGCAGAGCAAGAGGAGAGAAAGGAACGGATCTAAAAGCAAACAAGCTAACGACTGGCACATGAGTAAAGAAAGTATCCATTTGAGTAATTGCATTCAATAATTGTGGTATATAATGTTTTACCATGCCCAGATCTGGGAGCATTGATCTAGGATTAAAGCTGTCTAATAACTCTTTTTAAGAAGTCAACTCTTCATTAAATAAAACAAATTTTATGCTTAAGAATGTTAAGAACTCACATAAGCAACTTAAAAAAGAAAGCTGTATCATGGACTAAAGAACGCACAGCTGGAGCAAACCTCACAACTCCTGATTCAGGCTACTCCTTTTGTAGATGTTGAAACAGCCTCAGATAGATTGAGTGAGATGCCCCAATTCAGAAAACTAGTTTGTGAAAGAATCAAGGCTAGAATGCCAATTTTTTGACTCTTGCAAGATGCCTACATCAGAGATATGGTAATGTTCAGCTTAATGTAAATGCCACTGCTTGATAGTTCTACACAACAGAAACTAGACAATTGTGTATTTACATATATGACCGTATGAGAGGGGAAAAAAGAAACGAAGACTTCCTTAAGCTGACTTCATTAAATGTGAAATTAAAAGCAACCAGCCCTCAGAATAAATGAACATATCCACTTTAGCACTTTGGCAGGTTTAACAAATCCCTAATAATTTATAAAGTTATTAGGTTGAAAAGTGTCAGCCTAGGCACAATCTACTAATTGATACATTTTTGACTTTTGAAGCTGCTGTATATACATGTATAAATATACTTGAAGTCGTTTTCTCATGAAGAACAATGGCATAACAAAGTCATATTAAAAAGTCTCAGATTGAGAGTAATTTGTATAAATAGTTGTAATAAAACTTCAAGTTAATTGTCTCTGTTGGGATTGTGGTACCACACGATTATAGTCTCCTTGAAGATTTCTAAATATATGCCATGTTACTTATCCTTTGCTGGATAAGCACTGTGGTTTTATTACTGCTTAACTGTTATAAAATGTTGGATTGTAAAATGTCAATCGAACAATATATTTACTTACGAATAGTTACTCCCTGGAATGTTGCAGTTTAATCAGAGTCCTCTAAAGACAGACTACAGAGCATTATTTAAAGCTGTCTTCAAAAAACTGCCTCCTGAAGCTACTTAAACACGCACATGCATTATCATCTGCAAAATATGACTAGGCCTTGTGTAAATCCTCATGCATTAAATTTTGCTACAAAAAGTATACAAGGACATAAAAGGGTAAAGTTACAGAACTAAAATTGGATCAGCGTCTGTGAGGCAGTGTTATTTTAACTTTGCTTTATTTTTTGAAGGATAATTTGCAGACCTTGCTGAGTG